ACAGTCTTATGCAAGGAAATTCCCCATATCTTGTTGTGAGTGGTGGTTACACAATTGTATGCAATTGTCCAAATTCATGAACTGAACATGTGGTCTTCGTATTTTGTTCTATGTTAATTACTTCTTAATTTTAAAAAAGGTGAAAAGAATCTGTTTTGCCCTGCTAAAATGATTGCAGGCTGATGAGTAATCGAATGTGGGAACCTAGAGGATGTGAGAAGATGTTATATGTGAGATTTCTCAGAAGGTGATGGCTGCCTACAGTATGCACAAATATGTCTGTGCTATGAGTACTCCTCAAAAGAGTCTTACACAGAGTGACCTGCTAAGGAAGTGGAAAGTACAGCTTCTATACCAGGGAATCTAGGGACATCTCTGGAGGCTATTTTAGAGTGAACAGACTTGGGTGGTGGGAAGAGGGCCAGGTTGCCAGCAGTAAAGATGGCAACTCTTGTGCTTCATCCAGAGAAGGTGATATGTGGAGATGCTTCCCCCAATACTTCCTGTGCTCCTTGGCTTGGCAGTCAACTGGCTGACGGAAGATCAGTGAGTGAGTGTATATTGAAGGTGGAGCTGAGGTGGAAGCATCTTGACGCCAAGGATGCTGGATTAGTTTTAGGTGCCAGGATTGTTCTTGGCACCCAGTTTCTTGAAGCCAGGGATGTTGGTTCCTGCCTCAGATAGGAGGTAGAGTCCATGTGGTCAGGCTTCCAGATGGAGAAGAACTCCCTTATGTTCACAGTTCTGGGAAAGCATTGATCCTCCCAAGATTGCCTTTCTTAGTCTCATGTAATGATCTCAGAGAGTATTCTTGACCCCAAATACTTACTTTTTTCTTTTTCTTTTCTTTTCTTTTTCTTTTTCTTTTTTTTTTTTTTTGAGACAGAGTCTCACTGTGTCCCCCTCAGTAGAGTGTTGTGGTGTCACAGCTCACAGCAACCTTTATCTCTTAGGCTTAAGTGATTCTCTTGCCTCAGCCTCCCAAGTAGCTGGACTACAGTCACCCACCACAACGCCTGGCTATTTTTTTGTTGCAGTTGTTGTTTAGCAGGCCAGGGCCGGGTTTGAACCCACCTACCTTGTTGTATATGGCCAGCACCCTAACCACTGAACTACGGGCGGTGTGCCCTCAAATGCTTCCAGTGCTGCTGAAAAGCAGGAGGTATTTGGGCGGCACCTGTGGTTCAAGGAGTAGAGCGCTGGCCTTATATGGTGGAGGGGGTGGGTTCCAACCCAGCCCCAGCCAAAAACTGCAAAAAAAAAAAAAAAAAAAAAATATATATATATATATATATATAGCGGAAGGGATCTGATGAGAAGTCAGAGAGGGTGTCAACATCAAAGTGACTTCTTCCCTTCCAGCAATAGTAGGTGCAGCAGGACCCTAAGGCATTTCTTATTTTTTGTCTATGACTTGTTAGAAATTGCAGTTAGTATCCCTGTTCACAGAAGTAAAAGTGGTATGGACTGGGTGATCCGCCTGCACTTTAGGAGTCATGCTCTTGGAAATTGTTTGAGAGAATTTTACTGCTATACCCGTAATCCCTTAAATGAGGTAGTAACCAATATCACTATAATTGGAACTTGATTTTAGGAAAACTGAGCTATCCCTTGAGTCCCTTAATACCCAGCACCTATGATTACTCCTGATTGACCACTGTGTGTATTGCATATAATATAGACCTTTCTTCTATAACCTATATCCCTTCACAATTTGAACATTCCCTGGTATACATTCTATAGAAGCAAACTGTTGCAAGACAGCATCCAATAAACTCTTGGGAAGTTGAACCAGAAGGAAGCACCCTATTCCTGGACTGCTTTTGTTCATAATTGTTATAGACACTTTAAGATTCATTTTTTAGCCACTTTAAGATTTATTTTTTTAGCCACAAAATTGGTCATACTTTGGCCAGGCATGGTGGCTCACATCATCAAGCACTCTGGCAGCTAGAGGTGGGAGGACTGATTGAGCTCAAGAGTTTGAGATCAGCCTGAGCAAGAACAGACACTGTCTCTATTAAAAATGGAAAAATTACTCAGGCTTTGGGCAGGCACCTGTAGTCCCAGCTACTTGGGAGGCTGAGGTAGGAGGATCACTTGAGTCCTGGAGTTTGAGCTGGGATAATGCCACAACACTCTAGCCTGGGCAACAGAGTGAGACTCTGTATCCAAAAAAAAAAAAGGTCCTATTTCAACATCTCTTACTTATGTACATAGTGATGGAAAGATGAAAATCTGGACTTGGCACCTATAGCTCAACCAGCTAAGAAGCCAGCCACGTACACCTAAGGTGGCGGGTTCGAATCCAGCCAGGACCCGCCAAACAACAATGACGGCTGCAACCCAAAAAAAAAAAAAAATGGCCGGGCGTTGTGGCGGGCGCCTGTGGTCCCAGCTACTTGGGAGGCGGAGGCAGGAGGCTTGCTTGAGCCCAGGAGTTGGAGGTTGCTGTGAGCTGTAATGCCGCAGCACTCAACCCAGGAGGACAGCTTCAGGCTCTGTCTCAAAAAAAAAAAAAAAAGAAAAGAAAAAGAAAAAAAGAAAGATGAAAATCTGTATATATAAAGAATACTTCATGGGAGTGTTGGCATTTCTGACAAAATGGCAATTTCTGAAATTGAATGAGGCATTAGGTAGACTTTGCTTTATGGAGTATGTAATCTATCACTTTCTTATGGATTATGTACCATTTTTGCTCCTTGTACCGAACTGGGAAAACCGCAAGAGAAATGAGAACAGTGTATGCTTTGCCCTTCTGCCTCCCCAAGAAGGGCTCAGGGAGGAGCAACAATCTAGAAGAAAAAAGAAAAAGTGGTGGTGCTGGAGATAAGGTAAACGTCTAGGAGGTGGCCTTTAGGATCATAATTGTCAGGGTGCTATATTTCTATGTACATTCGCCTCCCCCCCCTTAACATAACTCAGGTTTCATTTTAAATGAATCGGGAGCTCTAAAGCAGATTTTACCTTGCAGAGTCTCCCCTCTTAGCGTTTTAGACCTCTTTAAGCTACTGCATTCTGTCCCTTTAAAAAATACTATTCACGTTTATTTTGTTTATTAAAGATATTTTCCCAGCATATTATCGATGCAGGAAAATAAAAGAGTTTCCTCCATAGAGAGTAAGAGTTAATATGCAAACTTAGCACTCGTTTATTTATGTTTTATAATAGTTCAAAGTTTTTATCCCAATATTGAATTAAATATTCATGGTTAAAAAAAGAAAAAAAGGCAAGAAGTAGTGTGGGGGCAGGATGTACTCCGGAGATAGCCTGGCGGCTTGATTTCAGTTTTATAGGTTGGTCTGGTTATTTTTCTCCCTCACCCTTCAAATTTCAGTGTGACGGCTTTGGCTGAGGATTCTTTTGCTAAACACATTGTTTCTAAGTAGTATAAAAATGTATGCTATGCTTTTCCAGGAACCCATTGCTCTGTTAGCTCCTTTTTTTACTTTATTTTATTTTTAGTTGCTAGTGGCAATGAGACCAACATAGCAGGAAACTTCAAGGACGAGCTTTCTGTTTGAGTGGGCGCTTTCCATGACAGTAACACCCTCAGAAATATTTGTGTTCAGCCATATTTACACTTGAGGGAGAATGGACAACCGAAAGTTACTTCTTTTATTTAGAATAGAAGTACACGTAGGAATTCCTTCTGTTAAAGTTAGTTCTTTTACTCAGAATAAAAGGCAGAGTAACAATCGTGGTACTCGAGCATGGAAAGAGATAACACCATAAGTCAACCCAAAACTTTGTGGCTTCAAACAGTAACAACTTAAAACTTTCAGGATTCTGTGACTCTGGAATTTGGAGAGGGTCTGGTGCATGTGTTGTCCACTGCGGTAGGTCAGTGGGCTGCGTTCAGCTGGCAGCTTGGATGAACTACAAGGTTGTGAAGGTTTCACTTTTAATAGCTGGTGGCTCTTCCTTTGCAGTTTGCCTTTCTCTCTTCCCGTGAGTAGCTTGGCCTTTCTCAGAGAATAGCAGTCCCAAGAGAGTAGACTTCTTACCCTGGTGGCTGGCTTCATAAAGGAAAGGAGGGAGCTGCCAGGCACAGCTTTCATCATGTTTTATTGGTTAAAGCCAGCCACCGCGTCCGCTCAGGCTCAAGCTGAGGCAAGGAGTAGACTTCATGTTCTGTTGGGGCATGCTGAGTGGTAAGTGAGCACAAGAAGGGAAGGAATTGGTGGTGGTTCTTTGGAGATTGTCTGTCACACTTTATTTACACATTCTGCTTAACTTGGACCCTTCCCATTTAAAAAAAAAAAACTGCCAACATCAACTTGTTCCAGTCAGGCGGATGGCTTACTTGAGGATTATGAAACCTTTGTTGGTAGATGGTCTCATGACTTTATGCATCAAATAATGTTGATCAAAACTCTTTCCCCATCTTCCCCCTCAACACTCAAAATTATCCATTCTCATTAAACAATAACTTGGCTATCTGATGGAATGTTTATTTACATATTGTAGCTAAGTCCTTAGGGTACTGCAATGAATGCATTCTTGATTATTAGGAAATTTGGGGAGAAGATCAATTTAGTCTAGACCTAAAAATAATTCTACATTTTCCATCATTCTGTTTCACTTGACCGTGTCACTCATCTTGGTTTTCCTCCTACTTCCTGGAGGAGGAGTATAGGTTCATTTTCTCATAGCCAGAGATGATCCTAAAAATAAGTGCCTTTGGCTCGGCGCCTATAGCTCAACCGGCTAAGGCGCCAGCCACATACACCTAAGGTGGCGGGTTCGAATCCCCAGCCCGGACCCGCCAAACAACAATGACGGCTGCAACCAAAAAATAGCCGGGCGTTGTGGTGGGCGCCTGTGGTCCCAGCTACTTGGGAGGCGGAGGCAAGAGACTCGCTTGAGCCCAGGAGTTGGAGGTTGCTGTGAGCTGTAATGCCACGGCACTCTACCCAGGGGGACAGCTTGAGGCTCTGTCTCAAAAAAAAAAAAAAAAAATAAAAAAAATAAGTGCCTTTTTTCCCCTTTGTATGAAAAAAAATATGGAACACTTCACGAATTTTCGTGTTTTCTTTGTGCAAGGGCCATGCTAATCTTCTCTGCATCATTCCAATTTTAGTGTATGTGCTGCTGAAGCAAGCACAATAAGTATCTTTTTGACAAAAAAAAAAATAAATAAAAGGCTGGAATTCTAATATAAAAGAGCTCCTCCAAGCGGCTAAGGTGCCAGCCATGAACACCTGAGCTGATGGGTTTGAATTCAGCCCAGGCCTGCCAAACAACAATGATGACTGCAACTAGAAAATAGCCGGGTGTTGTGGTGGGCACCTGTAATCCCAGCTACATGGGGGGCAGAGACAAGAGAATCACATGAGTCCAGGAGCTGGAGGTTGCTGTGAGCTGTGATGCCACAGCACTCTACCCAGGGTGACAGCTTGAGGCTGACTCAAAAAGAAAAAAAAGCCCCTCAGTACAAAGACTAGACCAAAACTTGGTGAATATAAAATCTGCTGTTCCTTTTGCACTTCAGCTATTACATAATAAAATATATTGCAGGACTGCTGTGTATTAAATACTCTAAAGAAAGAGCCATGGACCAGCCATCAGAGGCCTGATATTCTGGGTACCTTTGACAAGTAGCTTTTTGCTTCAAGCCTTTCTGTTAATTTATGAAATGAGAATTATTCCTTCTCTGTCTACTTCAAATAGTGTTTGTAAAGCTGACACAAATAAAAAGTGTTCAGGACCACACACATTAGGTATGATAACTGGATGATAAAAGAAGCGTAAGGATAACCAGAAATAAAAAATAAGTGAGAAGAAACCCAACAATATATATGTATGTGTGTGTGTGTGTGTGTGTATATAATCTCCCCCAAGGGGTTCACAGTCTCCTTAGAATGTTATTTCCAGCAGGATATGTAGTTAAGGCATAGCAATAGTTTAAAATTCCTATTGAAACTGGGCAATATAGCATAATAGTAACCATTGAACTCAAAATTGGCCCTGTCCTTTCGGCCGAGGGATTCTTCCCATTTCTGCCCTTCCTTGATAGTACTTTTTTAACGTTTGTAGTCAGAGCTCCTTTTCATGACTAATTTATTAAGGATTTTTAAAGATTACCAGATAAGCATCAGATAAAAATAATTCTGCCCTCTTGCTGGCCATAAAATAATTGTCATTTGTAACTGATCATATACAATAGTTTCTTGATTTTTCAGGGAGTCATTTAATTATAGACCTGTGCTGTCTCATACCATAGCATGAATAAGCTCTGAATATTTAGATTTAAGTTAATTAAAATTAAAAATGAGTTCCTTAGTTGTGCTTGCCATTCCATGTGCCTAGTGGCCATGACATTGAACCTTGCAGATGTAGAACGTTTTCATCACCACAGAGAATTCTAATGGATAGAACTATTATAGACTATTTTCTAACCTGTGTGTTGCTGTATTTCTTTCTTGCTGTCTCCCTCAAAGGCTCTTTCTTTCGTGTTTGTTTGTTTTGGGTGAGCAATGAGGGGAAAAAGGAGATCAAACTCGTGTCCTATTTTTTGGTAATGTTGATGAAATAGTTGGTAATTGGATGGACTGAAACTATTGGCTAGAGTTACATTTTTGAAATATCTTTAAATGTAATTTATGTCTGTTGCTTAAAGCAGTGGCTATAGAAATTTGTCTGTTTGTTTTAGTGGAATAGGAACATATATCAGTGGAACACTTCTCATGTACTCCTGACTACACTTTGCCTATTGAATGTTGTTACTTCTAAAAATTCTACTGTATAACAAAGCTCCTCTATTACAGTGAAAATTAGACTGCTATGCTCATATCAAAGTCATTTGAAGTAATATGTGCCCTTTTCTCAGTTTAAACAAAATTTCTGATCCAAGATCTATTCCGATTTTGATATATGCCAATTAAAATATTGACTTTAAACAAAGGGGTCATAAAAATGTGAGATTAAAATGAATAGGAGCTGAGTCCTTATCACTTAATCCAAAGTAAACGAGGATTGCACAATGCTGTACTGAAGAAGCACAGTTCAGTTGCACAGACATGTTCCTAGATATTCCAAACTGCTTTTAAATTATAGTTCTTTGTGTTGAGAGATTGATACTTAAATATGCTTGGGAATTAAAATTCACTTTATGATGAATAGTTGCTAAAAGTGTTTAAGATAGCACTGTGAAGATGTGGTATGACAAGGAATAGTCTCCAAAGCCAAGCCACGTTTCTTCGGACCAGAATCAGAAGATTTTATGTAAGCAGTGTGGTTTATCAAAGGTGTCTTCCACAATGGGTGCTTGATTTTCACTTTAACGTGGACATAATTTGTGCTGAGCCAGGAAACATACTATACTTCAATATCATTTAATGTATATTGTTCGGACCGAATTTCAGTAATTTTAATTGTGAAACAAAAAAAGAAGTTTTGTTGCTGAAAACTTAAATTCAGTGAACTCAAGTTCTCACAACTGTGAGGATACTTTTCTGTCTTCATATCAAAACCAGTGAGACTAGTTGCTCCCCCAAAAGATGGGACCCGTTAGCTAGGAGCCAGGAACCTTAGGTAACCATAGTCACAGTTATCTCGATGGATCCTACATGACAAGAATTACTTGAGAATTGTGTGACTAGGGTGGCTTCCCATGTCTAATTCTGCTTTGTTCTGGGTAGTGGGGCAGACTACTTAGTGTATCTGTCTGAATTCCATACCATATAAATGAAATGCTTGTCACCAACATCAGGCAGTCACTTTGTCATGACACACCAGTGTAATACAAAGATTTCCTACAGTGTTGCAGCAAGCCTAGCTTTTCCTGAAGCTCTGGCTTCTTCTCTCACACATTGCCGTGAGGCTACTGCATGACATGTATTCCTTTGTCCACTCTTTACTTTCATGATAGCTGGATTTAACCGAGGACTTGTCTTATACAGCGTTGGTTTGTAGTTCCTACTCTGAGTTCCTCCACAAATGTCAGGCTCTGATTGCTGCAAGGAATTAGGTCTATACAACAGGTCTAACAGCTTATTGCTAAAATGCCATTTCTTTGAGTTAAGCATTGCCAATGCCCCATGAAACCACTATTTCTTTTATTTCCTGGAGTTTGGAAAAAATAGGGATATGGTATTTACTTATGAGAAACATTTATTTTAAAATGTAAACTTTGTTTTTAAGCATTCTGAGAGCGAGGACAGTCATAGTAACCTTCAACATAGTTTTCTATTGCATAGTATGGCTATAGAAGATAGTGGATGTAGAAGGGCTTTTAAAAACATAGAGCATCTTACAAGTGTATTTACTAGTATTCTTGTTAGAATTATCTATTACAGAGTAGCAAACCCCCTCAAACTTAAAACAATCACTTACCATTTTGCATAGTTTTCTGAGTTGACTGGGATCAGCTGGGTGGCTCTTCTGTTCCATTTAACTTTGCATTCATTTGGGAGCTTGGCTGGGGATAGACTGTCCAATATGGCCTAATTCACGTGCCTTGCAATTGTGTGGCTGTTGGCTGGAGTGCCTCCATGCTCCTCTGTGTGGCTTCTCATTCTGGAGGGTAACTCTCCATGTGTGCATTAACTAGATGGCAGACTAGCCCAGAAGTTTGTATGTGGCATCTGGCTGACAGCCCCTGCAGGCCTAGATCTGAGAGTCACTCAGTGATACTTCTTCATTCTTCTGATCCAGTCTCAGAGACATCCCACATTCCTTGACTTAGGGCAGAGTTCACAGTGGTAAAATATATGCACTGGGAAGGACTATAGTAGCCATCTTTGGAATATTCTATCAAAATTAATATTAAATAAAGCTTTAAAGATTAAGAGAGTCCATTCTCAATGAATAAGCAATTCCATCCAAACATGTATACTGCTACCAGATATTAAAATTGTAAAGTTACTTTTATAAATGTGCCGCACCTAATAACCATCACATACATTCATAATACTTATTCTACTTGCAATTGAAGGGAAGATGTATCCCCTAAAAACACTAATTATTGCTTTAGTCTTATTGTTTAATAAAAAGGAAGTGCACTGCAATCATACTTTTTATTGTTTCAGAACTTAAATTCACTCTACATGTTTATTGACACAAAGAAAATGTTGAACTCCCTCTAGTGGCAAAAGGTTGTCTTCTTTTTTTTATTTTTTCAAAGAGCTTGCTTAAAATAATAAGATGGCTGACTTACGTATAACAGGACGTAGTTTCAAAAATGACTGGCTCTTACATGAAGCCCACTTTCTACTGTTATGGTAGGTTCTTTCCTCTCATAAGAAATGCTCACCTGTTTAGGACACAGTGATCATACTATATGAAAAGAAAAAAAAAACAAACAAAAAAAGGAGACTCCCTGTTAACTTTTAAAGTATGAAAACTGCTAACTGCTCCGTTAAATCAAGGCCTTAAATGAAAATTACTCTATTTTGACAATTAAAATTTCCTGATCCCTGGTTGAAAAGTAAAGTGAATTTTTAATTTCTGCCCGAAGAATTATTTTTTTAACAGATGAATGTATTTAACTGAAAAACTCTTTAGAGAGCAACAGGTAACTATTGAAATGTGAAGTTGGAAAGCACTGATAGCCAAACTGGGGGGAATATAGAGACAGCAAAGTCTTATGCTTTCCTTTGAAAAAAAGTTCAAATTTGGATTTTTTTTTTTTGCAGTTTTTGGACGGGGCTGGGTTTGAACTCACCACCTCCAGCATATGGGGCCAGTGCCGTACTCTTTTGAGCCACAGGCGCTGCCCCAAACTTGGATTTTCATAGTCAAGGAGGAAACAACATACATCATAGCTGTCATTATCACTCTGTATAAAAGGAAGGGTACTTCAATGGGTGGGACTAGAAAAACAGCTACCACAGGCTTCATAAGTTAAGTTTTCTTATCCCCACCCCCACTGCCAAAGAGTTAATAATAATGCTCATTAGGTTACTCCGTTACCTGTTCATTTATAAATAGATTTATTCAGTTCTTTAAAAACGACATTTTCTATAATGCTATTAGAAAAGACATTCTTATAAAATGCTTTTTTTTTCCCTCCCAACTATTTGTAGAAGCTAATCCAATTTACTTATTCTGTATTGTCTGGCAGGTTGACACCCGCATTCCTCTGTTCTCCTGCCCACAAAGGTA